CAGACCCTCAAACATCTCGTTAAATTATTCATCTAAATCACTCTGCCCACTTGATATTCCCGCCCCCTAAAACTTCTTATTTTTCCTAAAACCCTTTGACACCAGTGAATGTTCAGTTAAAACCACTCACATTGTGCTTATCAGCTAAATCACTCTGACACCACGTGACTGATTCAACCAGACCACTCAAACATCTCGTTACTTATTCAGCTAAATCACTCAGACACCACGTGGTTGATTCAATCAGACCACTCAAACATCTCGTGACATATTCAGCTAAAACTCTTAGACACCACGTGGTTGATTCAATCAGACCATTCAAACATCTCGTGACATATTCAGCTAAAACTCTTAGACACCCCGTGACTGATTCAACCAGACCACTCAAACATCTCGTTACTTATTCATCTAAATCACTCTGACACCACTTGACTGATTCAGCCAGACCACTCAAACATCTCGTTACTTATTCAGCTAAAACATTCTTAGTTTAATAATATTTTATTTTATAAATATACACACAATATACAATTAAATAATTTTACAGACATAATCAAGTGTACATACAAAACTAAAACATTCAGACACCACTTGACTGATTCAGCCAGACCACTCAACATCTCGTGACTTATTCAGCTAAAACACTTAGACACCACTTGACTGATTCAGTCAGACCACTCAAACATCTCGTGACTTATTCAGCTAAAACACTTAGACACCACGTGACTGATTCAACCAGACCACTCAAACATCTCGTGACTTATTCAGCTAAAACACTTAGACACTACGTGACTGATTCAACAGACCACTCAAACATCTCGTGACATGTTCAGCTAAAACACTTAGACAGTACGTGACTGATTCAACCAGACCACTCAAACATCTCGTGACATATTCAGCTAAAACTCTTAGACACCACGTGACTGATTCAGTCAGACCACTCAAACATCTCGTGACTTATTCAGCTAAATCACTCTGACACCACGTGACTGATTCAACCAGACCACTCAAACATCTCGTTACTTATTCAGCTAAATCACTCAGACACCACGTGGTTGATTCAATCAGACCACTCAAACATCTCGTGACATATTCAGCTAAAACTCTTAGACACCACGTGGTTGATTCAATCAGACCACTCAAACATCTCGTGACATATTCAGCTAAAACTCTTAGACACCCCGTGACTGATTCAACCAGACCACTCAAACATCTCGTTACTTATTCAGCTATAACACATATTAGACACAACATGACTTATTTAGCCAGAAAACTCGGAACTGTATTAACACTGTTGTCCTCGGAACAGTATGAACACTGTTGTCCTCGAAACTGTATGAACACTGTTGTCCTTGGAACTACTGTTGTCCTCGAAACTGTATGAACAATGTTGTCCTCGGAACTGTATGAACACTGTTGTCCTCGGAACTGTATGAACAATGTATGTCCTCGAAACTGTATGAACACTGTTGTCCTCGAACTGTTTGAACACTGTTGTCCTTGAAACTGTAAATGAACACTGTTTGTCCTCGAAACACTACTGTTGTCCTCGAAACTGTATGAACAATGTTGTCCTCGGAACTGTATGAACACTGTTGTCCTCGGAACTACTGTTGTCCTCGGAACTGTATGAACACTGTTGTCCTCGGAACTGTATGAACACTGTTGTGCTCGAAACTGTATGAACAATGTTGTCCTCGGAACTGTATGAACAATGTTGTGCTCGAAACTGTATGAACACTGTTGTCCTTGAAACTGTTTTGAACACTGTTGTCCTCGGAACTGTATGAACACTGTTGTCCTCGGAACTGTATGAACACTGTTGTGCTCGAAACTGTATGAACAATGTTGTCCTCGGAACTGTATGAACAATGTTGTGCTCGAAAACTGTATGAACAACTGTTTGTCCTTGGAACTGTTTGAACACTGTTGTCCTTGAAACTGTATGAACACTGTTGTCCTCGAAACTGTATGAACACTGTTGTCCTCGGAACTACTGTTGTCCTCGGACTGTATGAACACTGTTGTCCTCGGAACTGTATGAACACTGTTGTCTCGGAAACTGTATGAACAATGTTGTCCTCGGAACTGTATGAACACTGTTGTCCTCGGAACTACTGTTGTCCTCGGAACTGTTTGAACACTGTTGTCCTTGAAACTGTATGAACAATGTTGTGCTCGAAACTGTATGAACAATGTTGTCCTTGGAACTGTATGAACACTGTTGTCCTTCGGAACTGTATGAACACTGTTGTCCTCGGAACTGTATGAACACTGTTGTGCTCGAAACTGTATGAACAATGTTGTCCTCGGAACTGTATGAACAATGTTGTGCTCGAAACTGTATGAACACTGTTGTCCTTGGAACTGTTTGAACACTGTTGTCCTTGAAACTGTATGAATACTGTTGTCCTCGAAACTGTATGAACAATGTTGTCCTCGGAACTACTGTTGTCCTCGGAACTGTATGAACACTCTTGTCCTCGGAACTGTATGAACACTGTTGTCCTCGAACTGTATGAACACTGTTGTCCTCGGAACTGTATGAACAATGTTGTCCTCGAAACTGTATGAACAATGTTGTCTTCGAACTGTATGAACAGTGTTGTCCTCGAAACTGTTTATGAACAATGTTGTCCTCGGAACTACTGTTGTCCTCGGAACTGTATGAACACTGTTGTCCTCGGAACTGTATGAACAATGTTGTCCTCGAACTGTATGAACACTGTTGTCCTCGGAACTGTATGAACAATGTTGTCCTCGGAACTGTATGAACACTGTTGTCCTCGGAACTGTATGAACACTGTTGTGCTCGAAACTGTATGAACAATGTTGTCCTCGGAACTGTATGAACAATGTTGTCCTCGAAACTGTATGAACACTGTTTTGCTCGAAACTGTATGAACAATGTTGTCCTCGGAACTGTATGAACAATGTTGTGCTCGAAACTGTATGAACACTGTTGTCCTTGGAACTGTTTGAACACTGTTGTCCTTGAAACTGTATGAACACTGTTGTCCTCGGAAACTGTATGAACACTGTTGTCCTCGGAACTACTGTTGCCCTGCGAACTGTATGAACACTGTTGTCCTTGGAACTGTATGAACACTGTTGTCCTGCGAACTGTATGAACAATGTTGTCCTCGAAACTGTATGAACACTGTTGTCCTCGGAACTGTATGAACACTGTTGTGCTCGGAACTGTATGAACACTGTTGTCCTCGGAACTGTATGAACACTGTTGTCCTCGAAACTGTATGAACACTGTTGTGCTCGGAACTGTATGAACACTGTTGTCCTCGGAACTGTATGAACACTGTTGTGCTCGAAACTGTATGAACACTGTTGTCCTCGGAACTGTATGAACACTGTTGTCCTCGGAACTGTATGAACACTGTTGTCCTCGGAACTGTATGAACACTGTTGTCCGTTTGATGGTTTGTTAATTATATGCATAAACATACTGGTTGAAAAAAACACATATCTTGTTATATAACCGTAACATTTGTATCAGAAAAATATAATTTTATGCAATATCCGAATTACCAAGTACCTTCTAGTTTGCATGTATAACCAACTGAGTTCCTTGGTGGACATAGGGAGACAAGGTGTTTCCATTTTGAAGACGCATCTATCTTGCTATATATCCTTTTTATTTATCCGGGAAAAGTTCTTTCTGTTTTGAGGAAAAAACATGCAAAGTTCGAATTACCAACTACCTTCTGATTGGCAATTGGTGATTCTCGCGAATAACCAACTGAATCCCCTGGTAGACATAAGGAGAAAGGGTGTTTCAATGTTGAATAACACATCTTTCTTGCTGTATATGCGTTCTTTTTATTTCTGAAAAGTAGTTTTTCAGGGGAAAACAGACTACGTTCATATTACCAACTACCTTCTGGTTCGTAGTAGGAGGTTCACACAAATATTCAGCTGAGTCCCCTAGTAGACGTAGGGGGACGGGGTGATTACATTTGGTATATATAATTAATCCATCATGTCTTATATTTTTAATTTTTATTCTGAGAAATTATTTTCTCTTTTTACTGGTTGGAAGTTGGGGATTCACGCGAATTACTGACTAAGTCACGTGGTCGATATTTCCGTTTTTGAGGGGAAAACATGCAAATTTTGAATAACCAACAACCAGCTAGTAGGTAGTTGGTTAATCGAATATTTAACTACCAGCTAGTAGGTAGTTGGTTAATCGAATATTTAACTACCAGCTAGTAGGTAGTTGGTTAATCGAATATTTAACTACCAGCTAGTAGGTAGTTGGTTAATCGAATATTTAACTACCAGCTAGTAGGTAGTTGGTTAATCGAATATTTAACTACCAGCTAGTAGGTAGTTGGTTAATCGAATATTCAACTACCATCTAGTAGGTAGTTGGTTAATCGAATATTTAACTACCAGCTAGCAGGTTATTCGAATATCTCTCGATGCAAACGAGAAGTAGTGATAAAAGTTTGTTTTTTAATGTCTGGACAATTGTTTTCACAACGGCCCGGGAAATGAACCCATTGCTCGTAGGCTCGAATCTGGAGTTTCCGGCCTTTTTTAAACCTTATAGTATATTTTAAAGGGGCTCATATTTCACTTTTTTGTCATTTTTCCCCCGGGTCCGATACTCGTGCCTGTGGTATATACTAGGTATAATACGGCTGTCGTCGTGTTGAACGGTTGTGTACCCATTTGATTGTACGGTGTGATATTGCTTTATGCAAGACCTACCACTTTGGATATAATCATAAAGCTGTGTAACATTTGATTTGAGTCTAAGCGGACTGGTCATTATTCATTACCGGTATTTTGATATTTTATTATCTGTACTAGATTATGTAGATTCTATAAATTGTAAATAATTTACGACATTTTTTAATTGTACGGTGCACATTGTTGTTTTTGCTGCTGTATTATTGGTCATGCAATGGACTGGAGGCCTGGATTTGAAAGTTATTACCACATACATTTATATCATCATTTCTTTATCATTTCAGGTCCTAGCGTTCGTGGCATTATGTAATGCGCAGATGTTATGTGAATCAAATTTAGAGGTATGCTTATCCGCATTGTTATTTAAAAGCAAACAACTAAAATAATGTTTTATCAAGTAGAGAAAAATCAAATAAAATTTGTATATAAAAATAATATTGGGTACACACGTGCAAGGTAATACGACGTGGCACACACGTGTCAAACAATACCAATATGGTGCATTCGTTCCAAGCATTAAGATATGATAGAACGGTTCGAGACACACATGTGCAACACATTAAGATAGGGCGCATACATTCAAAGTAATACTGTTTAAAACAAAAAAGTAAAGCTCTTATAAATGATGTGGTATGACCCTCTGACAACAGCATTTGTTTTATGACATTTAATAAACACTGGTTATTTTTATATAAATTGAATTAAAGCTTTCTTTTTCAGTGCCCGGAGGATTCGTTCTGTTCGGGACATCCTAAAGCTGTTTCGAAGACTCCAAAGGTCAAAAAGATATGTGTTCCCTGTAAGTTGATCAAATCATCAAATTAAATCATCATAGGTTATCGCCGTGTTGAAAACACATGCATTAAAAAATTTTTGTTAATTAGTATGTTCATATAATATGTGGCTGTAATGCTATGATCCTTATCTGCTAAAAAACAACGTAATAAATCATGTGTGTTTATTTATCCAGGTGTAAAGATCTAAGGTTACATGAAATATTAATTCTATTCTAGGATATTATCATATTTTGTCATATATAATACATTTGTTTTATATAATTCCATCTTGTGTAGAGTAGTCAGAAACTGTATAGTATGCATTATTTACATCACGTTTCAAAGGAATGAAATGAGAAAGCCCTAGGATAAGTTCAAAATGAAACTATCAAATATTTCATCACCAATGATTAAATTAATCAATTTTATAAATAAGATAAACGTTTGATGTCATTATATATTTCTGAAAATGTTTCGGATGCATTTTTTGTAGAGTTTGTAACAAATCTTGTAATGTGGTTACACTTAGTGTCTCTTTATATGATACAAACTTGTTTTGTTTAGGCGACTGCAATGAAAAAGATCAGTGTTATTTTGGCGGTTTCAACAACTTGGAAATCCTTTGTGATTGTGCAGATAGCGGCTACACCGGAGCCACGTGCGAAACTCGTAAGTATATTAACCTTTATTGGGATACAATGTTAAATAAAAACAGTTTAAAGATTAAATTAATGTATTAATAGCAATTTTGAGCGCACCAGTGTCAATAGCGAACTATTGCGATGTGATGGCGGATACCCCGGCGTCTGTCGTCAACAACCCATTGATTGTCTATTCCCCTGAAAATTAAGATCGGAATTGCTTCTAATTGACTATGTGAACCCCTTTATAACAGCAATTTGCTAATAATTTCTATACCAATTGGCATCTTTGAGGAAACCCATAGTGATAAAAAATAGAACAAAAACTTTAAACATATTCTCGTGTATTAATGGATGGATTCAACTGAAACAGCAGGAGAAGGTACTGCAATTTGTCTTGTAAAACAAAACATGGTGTGTCATTATAGGGGTCACATTCTCTTTTGCATAAATGAACGCTTTATCACTTACCAGTAGTATAGGGGACGGTTTAGCGTCTCATATACTACTCTTACCTATATAAAAGCTATTTACTGATTATTTTACAAAGAAATTCTGGTGACCGAAGTAAATGCAAAGCCAGCATATTCCCCTGTTTGGATTTAAAATAATACCCGTTTATCTTTAGTCATTTTAAAGATGCCATATTTGTATAATTTTCCAGCTATAGATCTATGTGACCCCAATCCATGTCAAAATGGCTGAACATGCACATCTGACGGTGGTACCGTGTCGTGCGAGTGCGATCCTCTTTGGGGTGGAGAATTTTGTCATGTCAGTAAGTATCTTCAGTTTTAAAATTCAGAAGCTGTTTCAGAGTAATATATTTTTATTATGGTCTGTTCCCGATCCCCGATGAAAAGAACTTCGCATTACTCTTAATCAAATCGCCCAGTCATACAAAATGTACACGAGGCCTTATGAATGTAAAATCACAGACACTTGGGGGGGGGGCGGGGGGGGGGGGGGCTAAAAACGCATTTAAAATAAAATAAAATGTATATTTGTCAATCTCAGCGCCATGTACTTATCATACATATTATTAAAACTTAACATAAGCTGTTTTGAATATAAGTTATAATAATCCGTTGAAATATGAATTTAAATTTATATTTCAAAATTGGATCAGTAGTAAATGAAATGTTAAATTATATGTATGTATGTATGGGTGTAGTATGTGTAATATTATGGTTCATAAATTTAGTTCATTTGTGTACGTATAATGCAGTTATGTAAGTATATCTCAATTGTGAATGTATATTTCGGTTATGTATATTGTGTATGTTTAGTACAGTTATTTATGTATAGTGAAGTAATTTATGTATATTTCAGTTGTGTATGTTTAGTGCAGTTGTTTATGTATAGTGCAGTAATTTATGTATATTTCAGTTGTGTATGTTTAGTGCAGTTATTTATGTATAGTGCAGTAATTTATGTATATTTCAGTTGTGTATGTTTAGTGCAGTTATTTATGTATAGTGCAGTAATTTATGTATAATTCAGTTGTGTATGTTTAGTGCAGTTGTTTATGTATAGTGCAGTAATTTATGTATATTTCAGTTGTGTATGTTTAGTGCAGTTGTTTATGTATAGTGCAGTAATTTATGTATATTTCAGTTGTGTATGTTTAGTGCAGTTGTTTATGTATAGTACAGTAATTTATGTATATTTCAGTTGTGTATGTTTAGTGTATGTTGTTTATGTATAGTACAGTAATTTATGTATAATTCAGTTGTGTATGTTTAGTGCAGTTGTTTATGTATAGTACAGTAATTTATGTATATTTCAGTTGTGTATGTTTAGTGTAGTTGTTTATGTATAGTACAGTAATTTATGTATAATTCAGTTGTGTATGTTTAGTGTATGTTGTTTATGTATAGTACAGTAATTTATGTATATTTCAGTTGTGTATGTTTAGTGCAGTTGTTTATGTATAGTACAGTAATTTATGTATATTTCAGTTGTGTATGTTTAGTGCAGTTGTTTATGTATAGTGCAGTAATTTATGTATATTTCAGTTGTGTATGTTTTAGTGCAGTTATTTATGCATATTGCAGTAATTTATGTATATTTCAGTTGTGTATGTTTAGTGCAGTTGTTTATGTATAGTGCAGTAATTTATGTATAATTCAGTTGTGTATGTTTTAGTGCAGCTGTTTTTGTATAGTACAGTAATTTATGTATAATTCAGTTGTGTATGTTTAGTGCAGCTATTTATGTATAGTGCAGTAATTTATGTATAATTCAGTTGTGTATGTTTAGTGCAGCTGTTTATGTATAGTGCAGTAATTTATGTATATTTCAGTTGTGTATGTTTAGTGCAGTTGTTTATGTATAGTACAGTAATTTATGTATAATTCAGTTGTGTATGTTTAGTGTAGTTGTTTATGTATAGTGCAGTAATTTATGTATAATTCAGTTGTGTATGTTTAGTGTAGTTGTTTATGTATAGTACAGTAATTTATGTATATTTCAGTTGTGTATGTTTAGTGCAGTTGTTTATGTATAGTACAGTAATTTATGTATATTTCAGTTGTGTATGTTTAGTGTAGTTGTTTATGTATAGTACAGTAATTTATGTATAATTCAGTTGTGTATGTTTAGTGTAGTTGTTTATGTATAGTACAGTAATTTATGTATAATTCAGTTGTGTATGTTTAGTGTAGTTGTTTATGTATAGTGCAGTAATTTATGTATATTTCAGTTGTGTATGTTTAGTGCAGTTATTTATGTATAGTGCAGTAATTTATGTATAATTCAGTTGTGTATGTTTAGTGCAGTTGTTTATGTATATTGCAGTAATTTATGTATATTTCAGTTGTGTATGTTTAGTGCAGTTATTTATGTATAGTGCAGTAATTTATGTATATTTCAGTTGTGTATGTTTAGTGCAGTTGTTTATGTATAGTGCAGTAATTTATGTATATTTCAAATGTGTATGTTTAGTGCAGTTATTTATGTATAGTGCAGTAATTTATGTATATTTCAGTTGTGTATGTTTAGTGCAGTTATTTATGTATAGTGCAGTAATTTATGTATAATTTAGTTGTGTATGTTTAGTACAGTTGTTTATGTATAGTGCAGTAATTTATGTATATTTCAGTTGTGTATGTTTAGTGCAGTTGTTTATGTATAGTGCAGTAATTTATGTATATTTCAGTTGTGTATGTTTAGTGCAGTTGTTTATGTATAGTGCAGTAATTTATGTATATTTCAGTTGTGTATGTTTAGTGCAGTTATTTATGTATAGTGCAGTAATTTATGTATATTTCAAATGTGTATGTATAGTTCAGTAGTTAGTGTTAGTGATGTTTATTGTGTTTTCGTTTTCATGAATGTTATGTATACATAATATAATCAGATGTCTGCTCGATACTGGTTTTAATCACTGTTAAAATACAATTTATTTATATTTTCAGTTCAGAATTAAAGAGAAAACACAGAAGTTATGACATCTTTAAAACATTATGTTGGAAATAACACAGCGAATTATAACAAGGAAAACAAAACGTATCTAATAATTCAAAAGATCTTTTGTAAAAGAATATCTTGTAAATATTGATTTCAAAAATAAAATTTAAAAAAAATCTCATTTTTTGTATTACTTATTTTCGTTAAAAATACATGCCTGCATGATCCGGACAGACAGACAGACGGACAGTTTATATATACATGTATCATACACCACGCAATATAAAGCATATGTGCTGTGTCAAGAATGTGGTGATCTAATTAAAACGAAAGTTGGTTTGTCGTTATGAATTGGGGATATAATTTTATTAGACATGTAATCAAAGCGTAATACTAAACATTGTGTTCACCGCCATAAAAAGTTAGGAAAATGATATCCTGAAAATATAACTACATGTACATTCAATTCTGAAAATAGAGGCGAACCATTCCAATGTTTAAACCATGTTCGGCGAAAGTTCCGACAATATTTCTGTAAATCGATTTTCATGCTTGATAACACATGTATTAGTATTCCCAATATATACCAATAGATAATAAATGGTAACAATTCGAAGTATTATATCATGTTCAGGGTTCATCCGCCCTTTCGTGTACAGTGAGTACAGCACCCGTGCATGTCACCAAACAATATATGAGCCGCGTCACGACAAAACCAACATAGTGCGTTTGCGATCCGCGCAGTCTGATCAGGATCCATATTGTTCGCTGCCAATTCTCCTTTTGTAACAGAACTGGAACAGCATGGATCCTGATCAGACTGCGCGGATGCCCAGGCTGGTCTGGATTCATGCTGGTCGCAATTCCACTATGTTGGTTTTGTCGTGACACGGCTCATATATTGTACTTAAAGAGGCGTTTAGAAATCCAAGAAATAATTCATCTGATCATTAAGCAAAAGGCAACATTTGAAGGTCAAACTCAAATAAATCCCTAAAATAATAATAATAATAAAAGAAAAGATAGGAACGGCCTCAAATGTTTTAACTATTATAATTATGATAATGATCGTGGATATCAACAATAATATAACTGTGCCAGTTACACCTACCTTCAAAGTGGAGAAGAAAAGCAATCACAATGATCTTGTTTTAATTTGTCCTGATCACTGCTGAAGTGAGTTTAGAATAAAAGAGCCAGTCGCCCACTTCCCCCTTTAATTCAAAACGATTTTTTTTGCGTTTTCTGTAAACAGTTTTGAAAAGAAGTTAATTTAGTCACTCTACCTGCAGACCATATGTCATGCAATCAATTATACGAGCAGAAACAGGCATTTTGTAAGTAAAGTATATGAGCTCAAAAACAAATAGATTTTTTCTGTTATATTTGTTCTTTCAAGCGTTCATAAAGGGGGGTGATTTTCTACACAAAACTGGCGAAATGATTTAAAATTGTAAAAAATAAAAATATTGTCAAGTATTGTCAATATATTTTCAAATTTCGGTTTGACAAAACTTACATATAATTAACACATTTTATTTATATTTTGATTTAAAAAAGTTTGTAGATTTAAAATTCTTATTTTATTGTGTTTGCTTAGTTACAAATTGTCTGTACTATTACGGTCTTTCAAGTAGATATGAAAAGACCCTGTTTCTAATGTTTATGCATTTTTTTCCAGTCAAATTAAGTGAACATAACTGATATACAAAAGTATTTGTCATCATCATCATCACATACAACTCGTATTTCTTATCGGTGGCCGATTAAAGAGAAAGTGATATAAAGTTATCAAAAGTCGACAACATCTTCATCGAGATGATTTGACGGGCGTGCGTGCGCACGTGTACGCGCGCGCGTGTGTTATTTAATAAAACAGGGAAAAGAGAAATATAACAATAGTTTTAAAAGAGATAGCACATTGTTTAGTCAATAAGCATACATTTATATATACAGGTACTATTGTAAAGAAACAGAAATACATAATTATAAGAACAAAAATGGTTTATATCATTGGAAAAAATATGTTTATGTTCTTATATTATAAAACATTTTTACAAGTTTGCTTTAAGAATGTTCCTTTCAAACTTCTATAAATATAACAATTAAAATTAAATGATTTACACAGCACAGGGTGGATACCAACATGTTTATTGAATAATATACTACACCATGGTTCTTGAAGGAGTTCTTTCTCAAACAAGTAGATACAGTTGGGTATGTTACATGACTTTTATAATTTACAAGGAATCACTGAGAGAGTCATTTTCCAGGCCGGAATCCTCGTCCTCTAGGTTAACCTCTTCACTGACTTCTCCAGTACGTTCTGTGGCACGAAGCTCTGTAACCATACAATCAGAAGCTCTCTTGGTAGGAACTATCATACGAACGATCTTTTTCTGTTGGTTGTCGTCTGCTTTGTGTTGTTCTACATCAGATTTGGTACCACGTGCGCTGAATCTAAACAGGCGCTTGACAAAATCGTCTGTTGTATCAGCCTCGTTTTGGATTTTCTGCGGAAGTGACGTACTCACATTCGAAAGATTCCACAAGGATGACAGCACAAGATCTTGACTGAAATATGTCGGATAGGCAGGATATGACTGCACAAACATGGGGTGACATGTAGACACGTGATGTTGACCGGATGTCGAGGTCATTTCTGGATGTCTGTTTACTATCTGAAATAAAAAAAAAGAATATTATAAGTAGCAGATCTAAGGTTTATGAACTAACTAATGTGTAGTTAATTAAATAGTGATTTTAGTTGATCATGTATACTTTAAGTGCACGGCTACCCGTAATCAAGGTTATGCATTCAAAGTAGAGTTCCTTCTTCATCAACAGTCGCCACTTTCCCAAACTATCGTAACTTAGCTTAGTGACTAGTTAATACAACAATGATCATTTTATCATTAATGAGCCGCGTCACGACAAAACCAACATAGTGGGTTTGCGACCAGCATGGATCCAGACCAGCCTGCGCATCCGCGCAGTCTGATCAGGATCCATGCTGTTCGCTTACCAACCCTATTACAAGTAGAGAAACTGATAGCAAACAGCATGGATCCTGATCAGACTGCGCGGATGGGCAGGCTGGTCTGGATCCATGCTGGTCGCAAACCCATTATGTTGGTTTTGTCATGACGCGGCTCATTTAATCATCTTTGAATATTTCAGCTAATATTTCATATATATGTTGAAATTTCGGAAACATTTAAGATAAAGAAGATGAAGTATTTAACGTGTATATATGCTGAATTACAAATTTAGAATATGATAAAGTTTAACATCTTTGTTTAACCAAATTTGAAACACCAGGGCTTCTGTACTTATACCAGAAATTATATGATGTACATGTATCTCCATACTAGTACAAACTTTTCAGTATTTATTAATTTATTCGGGAAATATACGTAAACGCATACTATATTGTCACATGTATTAACATGCATATAAAACACTCTCAAATGCAACAATAATTATAAAATTAAGAAGTATATTTTATGTTTCCCTAGCATTGCTCATTAAGCTACAAGCTTATTTCCAATAGGGTTCAATTACTGTAATAAAACACACAATATTCTTTTTTAAAATTTCTTTTGAATGATCAACTTACTTTTAGATCTTGATAATTTTCTGTATCAAATTCTACCCGCTGTCTTTTGGTCACAATGGAATCAAGGCACGTGTCACTAGAGTTACGGCGTTTGTTTGCGTTACTTGTCACACCAGGACAGACGTCACATGACTTCCGGTGTTTGTTGTTCCGGGCACGTCTGTTTTGGAACCACACCTGGGAATAGATATTCATTCAAATAAGCTTAATAAAGAATATAAACATAGCTGCAAATATTTAAGCCATAAGCTTTTTTTTCAGACATTTTACCAATAACTTATGACTCTAAATATTCCTTGGCATTTATCATTTTTAGTTTAAATCCATATAACAAAAGAGCAAAATTCAAACTATATTCCATAAAACAATATACTTTAGAACAACGACATTGAAATAGTGGGTTTACAATCATTGATGTGACTAAAAATTCATCTGTTTAAGCGGCATCAAAATAGAATAGATTCTTTAAGAGTGTGAAACAATGTAAAATATATTCCAGCATTTTAATTTTACAATGAACAGAAAAAGGCACATGTCGGTATAAAACTCGATAATTAACAAAATGAACACTTTATTTTGAAAAGCAAGGTTATTAAGATATTCTTAAACTTAGGAACTAGATAGTTGTCACATACCTGAACACGTGCCTCTGGGACACCGATTTCAGCTGCTATCACTTCCCGCCGCCGGATGTCGGGGTATTTACCACGTTCAAATTCTTGTTCCATATACTTTACTGCCGACACAGAAAATATCGTTCTTGTCCGGCGGCGCCTGGCTGTCTGATTAGTTTCACTTTGATGCGGAACTGAAAATAAATGAAAATATTTCAATATACATGTATAATCTGAGACTATTTTACTTGATTTTGCAAAGGGGTCGTTACAAATAACAAATAATGATAAATAAATAAATACTGTAAACGACATAAAAACATAATAATTTTTTTATAGAGCAGAGTTTATTAAAAAACACTTTTATTATACATTCTAACACTCACGTGATTTTGTCACTATAGACAAAGAAGGAAAAAAGACGGTGTTAAAGTGCCAATAAACACTGGTTAGGGACTACTTGTATATGCGGCTGTTATGTTTTCAACCTCGATTATATAGAGGAAATTTGTTTAGTTCAGTGTAAGATCGGAATATATACTTAAGGACAATGAAAACGCACGCCCGCACTAAATGCATTTAATTACATAAAAACAAAACACTAACGATTCCATTAGATATATATCATAACTTTAATACAAAACGCAAACTTAACAACTGAAAATAATTCAAAATGTTTAAAATCTAATGTACACCAGTAAAACGAAGAACCTAAGGTGAAAATCCCAAAATCACAACTTTTTCATGACAGTAATGCAAACTTTAACTAAGGCAAAAACCAAATGAAAAATCCAAAACAAAGTCACTTCATAAATGTCTATTCGTAATGCCACCGTCGGGATCTTAAAAACAACAATGTCCTCCATCAGCGTCTCGTACAGATGTACATCGTCGCCTCATAGACCGTACGGTTCCGATAGTCGCCTGTGGAATATGACGCCATTCGGCCTGTAGTGTAGTGCAAAAACGCTGGTGAAGCCGAGAAATTGAAGACTGTTAGACACCAAAACGGTTTGCGCTTTGTTTGTAAGATAGACAAGACCGAATCTGTGCTAAATCTACTACTAAATCATACATTAACGCCACAGATTTGACCCATATCAGTTAATAAATATTTTAACAAAATGGCGCCAATCCGTAAGCAGCGTAATGCACTCATTTTCACTTAAGTACGACATTTCATGTCTTCAATGTTCTATGAAAATTTTAGGAGATACATAAGCCCGAACATTCTTGTAAAATATTTTAACAACTGGTACTGCATCAAAACTTTTATTTGAGCGCAAGTTTACTAGCCTATTGTATTTGTTAAATCTTGCTTGTGACAATTGCTTTTGCAAGGAAGGGGTACGAAAAAAGGCATGTCTTCAACTAAATCGAAGTATGTTTCATTGCACGTATCTTCGTACAAAGAGTCGTGGTTAAAAGTAAACACAGCTTATTTTCTTTATTCTTTTGCAGATTTTGACATATAAAACTGTTTTTGATATTACGAAAATTAATTTTCTCAAAATCAAATTTGAATTGCTTGTCTTCAAAGTCGAAATCATTTACGAGCCCTAATTGCAAAACAATGTTTATCATACAATGTAACGTATTACTGGTTATTTCAATAGCAATATTAAGTCTACAGTAATATAGTTCACATAAATTATGGAGATTAAGAGTATCTGTGTAACCATTTTGTAAAGGATTTCACGTTAATTTGGATTTTACATGCGTAATTTTTACAATATCATTTACGAGGCTCATCAATACCATGCTTTTTACAATATATTTTCAATTATTTCAATGTTATAATATTTCAGATATCCAAAGCGGATATTTGTCTTGCTTGTAATCTGTCATTCATGTAAACCATTCCACAATTTATGGATACTCACTTTCATAAACGAATACATTTAAACTTATAATACAACCACAAAAAATGAAATGAATTTACTTCAACGAGTGCAATAAATTCAGTAATGAACTTACACGAATTTAATATTCTATTTATCACATACCCAAAATAAAGACCCTTTAAAGTGAAATAAGAGTCATTTTTCATTGACGCGTCTATAGTATAACGCTAACATTTAGCGCGTCTTTACAATATGTTTGTATAACGCTAATGACGTCACGTCAAAATATATGCACGGCCGTGCAATACCATATTTACGGAGTCGCAAAATCGGCACGGGTGTGTGATAAAGAAAATTATATAACAGTGGTTTTCTCAAAGAAAGTGATATTTCTATGAGAAAAATTATTTGTTTTGATTTGTACTATTCGTTTACACTAGCTTGGATTTTATGCAGATCTAGCAATTTTGTTGAACTTCTAAGACTATTTATACGATCTTTCACTCATTTTTGACTATTTTCTGTTCAATTGCTTAAATATTGTTGATATGGCCCAACCTTGCCAAAGGAATATCTGCTCCGTTTCATGAATAAATATAAGTTAATCTTAAAGCATTATGAATATATATATCAAAGTATTTACATTTCTTTCTGTCAATCCATAGCATCTGGAGACTGGGTCACTTACGGGACAATTGAAAATCATTTACGAGTCCTTAATAAATTGTCAATATATGAGATGACGTAAATTATTTCACATTTGACAATTGAATAATAAATAAATTGGTACTTTCAAGAATTCGTCGGTAATTTTCACATTTTCTTACTCGTCCATTGTATGGATCTGTGGATTTTGTAAGGTTATTCATTTTAAAAAATGAGATTTAAGCATATTCGATATGAAATGCATTTCCATGAGTTGTTTTTAAAAAAAATGTATTTTTGTCAGTTTAATAATTGATTCTCATTTCCAGATGTTCATACAAATAGATGATAGAAAGTTTATTTTAAGATCGCCATACCATATGCACAAATTTAAGGACCATTGTCTCGAAAATGACTAAATTTATTTTCTGGTTCTATCTAGAAAACCTGTCAGGGGGGGAAATCTAGGACATCTGTACTGGTAATATTTTATATTTAAGATGTCGAGATACTTATAATTTTGGAATGGAATAGAATTTTAATATACAAGAAAGTTCATTTTTCAGTTCTAGAATTTATGAAATGTCGTAGTTATGAGAGAATGAGTGAATGACGTCATCATAAGTAAACAACTCATTCATAAACGAGCTGAAGTTATTTCATACATAAAATAATGATAAATGGGGAACTGATGTAAACACAATACGACTTGAGTCTTAATTGTTGAAAATTTGATAAAATAACGTTTTTATCTTAATATTTCTTTTGTTTAATAATTTCGATATCTTCGCAACAGTAGGGTGCGAAAATCGAACAGCGCTTTACGAAAATCGGCACCGGAAGTTATTTCCGCTTGAGAAAAACCCATCTGAGATCTTCCTTATTTCATCGTGTTAGAATCGAAATAATATCGGTCTGTGCAGTGTTTATCGGCTATTTAAAACCGGTTTTGTCGTTTTGATGTGAAAAATTAACCACTCAGGCCTACGGCTTTCGTGGTCAACTCATACGCATCAAAACTCCAAACCGGTGTTAAATAGCCGATAAACACCGCTTAGACCGATGTTATTTCTTAAGTACAAAACAGAGCAGGACAGTGGGATATTTTATACATCGCTTATACTGACAAAATTTAATTGTTGGAAATGCGGAATATTTATCTACATAATTACTTCTGAAAAGTTTATAAACATAATGAAAATAAGACAATCCTGAATGGAGAACAAGCTAGTCAAAACCTATTTTCAGTAATTCCACACAATAAAGTGACAAACATGAATAAATGTACACATTGAGGGTCAACAAGCAGTTAAGTTACACAGTATGTATGGTTATACTAATTAAACTGGTTAAACTAACTAAACTCACGTTATAGAAGTAAATAACTTAATATCAAAATGTATATTTTCAAGTATCAAGTATTTGGTAAAAGTCAGAACTTGTCTCTACATTTATCAAACATATGTGTAAAATTAAATACAAATATAATCAGACGGCAGTTATATCAAAGTGCTTAATGTACAGTATGTTATACATGTATAACTATCAAGAAATTATTAATGCACGACGGATTATTTATAACAGAGGCAAAAAGATTATATTTTTTTTGTATGCAGTTGTAAAGGAATGACACTTTTTATATATAGTGAAAAATGAATCAATTTTGATAAAAGAACAATAATTGAGTTGATTAATATTGTTTAAACCTTATCAGCGTCCTTTTTTTTTAGAAATCTCACAATCAAAATACATAGTCGTACTTAAAATAGTTCAATAAGTTTATTTTCAATATTCCATATGGCTATAGCCTATATAGCCCATGAGGATATACAATGCATTATATATGGCAAGACAGTATATATAGCATAAATGTACAAAACAATTTAAACAGCGGTTCAAACAGTTTTTTCATATATCATTATTATAATGTTGTACACGTTTTCACTTATAATGTTACAAGTTAACCATTTATCGTACACAGGACTGAGGAATGATACACGATTTAGCAAGATAACCAGGTGTTAGAGTAAATAATCTTAACTACGGGGGACCAACATTATATGTTTCACCGAAATATGCATATGTTTAAAAGATATGTTGATTTACGGAAAAACATCCTATATGAGGTCATTATTAAACGGTACAGTGGTTGGATCTTTCGGCGCAGACAAATGCTCGCTGCAAATAATTATAATGATTTAAGAATATCTTACCACCACCTAAAAGAACAACAACAATTAAAATTATTTAAAAAACTATTTTATCGACGCTCATTTCAGTGAACCACACGAACTGATATTTTCACCCTTTTTAAAAACTCTACATAATTATATAAAATACAAATAAATCACTGCAAAACGACGTTATGTTTTTAATATTTAGTGTATGATAGTATCTGCTTTCTAATATACAATGTGTCGTTTAGTTTTTAAATTATTTATATGAATGAAAATTTATATTTTATAAATAGTCGATTTTCTAGAGGTAAATGTAGATGATTTACCAAAGTAAATGTGTCACGAAACATTTGGACAACACTAAATTCATTGAATAAAATTGACATGACTGGATCTTTATAGAATTGTTGTACATTAACACATTATCAACACCTCAAATGAAGCCAGTATGTTAACATTATCAAATCTTAAATCCGATTAAATTATCTAATTTTACACATATAGTGTCACTCAAAAGTACTATGTCAC